ATCCAGGACTGGTTGGATCTCCTTGCAGTCCAAGGGACTCTCAAGAGTCTTCTCCAACACCACAGTTCAAAAGCATCAATTTTTCAGCGCTCAGCTTTCTTTATAGTCCAACTCTCACATCCATACATGACTACTGGAAAAACCACAGCCTTGACCAGACGGACCTTTGTTGGCAAAGTGATGTCTCTGCTTTTTAACATGCTGTCTAGGTTGGTCATAACTTTCCTTCCAAGGAGTAAGTGTCTTTTAATTTCATGGCTGCAATCACCATCTGCAGTGATTTTGGAGCCTCCCAAAATAAAGTCTGACACTGCTTCCACTGTTTCCCCATCTATTTCCCATGAAGTGATGGGACCAGATGCCATGATCTTAGTTTTCTGAATGCTGAGCTTTAAGCCAATTTTTTCACTCTCCTCTTTCACTTTCATCAAGAGGCTCTTTAGTTCTTCTTCAGTTTCTGCCATAAGGGTGGTGTCATCTGCATATCTGAGGTTATTGATATTTCTCCCGGCAATCTTGATTCCAGCTTGCGGTCATTCAGTTCAGCATTTCTCATGATGTACTCTGCATATAAGTTAAATAAGCAGGGTGACACTATACAGCCTTGACGTACTCCTTTTCCTATTTGGAACCAGTCTGCTGGTCCATGTCCAGTTCTAACTGTTGCTTCCTGACCTGCATACAGGTTTCTCAAGAGGCAGGTCAGGTGGTCTGGTATTCCCATCTCTTTCAGAATTTTCCACAGTTTATTGTGACCCACACAGTCAAAGGCTTTGGCACAGTCAATAAAGCAGAAATAGATGTTTTCCTGGAACTCTCTTGCTTTTTTGATGATCCAGTGGATGTTGGCAATTTGATCTCTGGTTCTTCTGCCTTTTCTAAAACCAGCTTGAACATCTGAAAGTTCACAGTTCACATATTGCTAAAGCCTGGCTTGGAGAATTTTGAGCATTACTTTACTAGTGTGTGAGATGAGTGCAATTGTGTGGTAGTTTGAGCATTCTTTGGGATTGCCTTTCTTTGGGATTGGAATGAAAACTGACTACACCCCAATACAAAACTAAAAAAAAAAATTTTTTTAAGGCGAATACATTCTTTGCCTTTATGCACTCAATCAGCCAAAACTAAAATATTAATGTATAAATATTAACTGTAATTTATAGAGATTAACAGTAAATCTACACATCTATTTGTGTTGCCTGATACCCTTAACCCTTTCTTTTGGTATTAGCCCCATTTTTCTGTGGCAAATTAGTTCTTCCCTCCATCCAATGCTCTTGATACATGAATAAATTACAATGACTCACCTCTACCTTGGTTGGGGAATGGACACATGATCCAATTTATGCCAGATCCTCTCCCCTGCCACCCAACAGGAATATGATCTTAAGCAGAATGATAGATGGAAGGAAGTAGTTTGAAATCTCACAGCAACAGCCACATGCTGAAGAGATTCTTCCATGACCCTTTTCTACTAAATTCGCTAGAGCTCTCATGTTCTTCTCTCTGCTTTTCCTTTCAAATCTGGTACCTATCCAGCATTCGTATATTAAATTATCTTTCTTTCCATTAGCCAAGATCTGTTTCTATGACTTGCAATTAAGGAATCCTGACTACCCTCAAATCTCCAATGACTCCATCTAAAAATGGCTGTGTTGGAGGGAAGGAGGATCCTTTACAAAGCTAGACAGATGATACGAAAAAAGAAACTATTAGCAGCGTGCATTCCAAACAATATTTAACCTTGCTGGTAAACAAATAATATATCTAACGAATTTACCTCTCTAAATGAGCATTATCTGAAAGAAATTTTTACAGTGATAGAACTGCTGCTCTATATCTGCACTGTCCATTACGGTAGCCACTCATCACATATGGCTACTGAGCACTTGAAATGTGACTAGCACAACCGTGGAGATTTTTTTCAATTTTATTTAATTGTTTTAAGTTTAAATTTAAATAGACACATGGAGCTAGTGGTTACATTATTGGAGAGCATAACTCTAAGAAAATAAAGAACACCAGTCTAAATCTATTGTTTTCAGGTGCTCAAGAAAATACTTCGAACGGTAATGAAAACTGAGACAGGTATTTTAAGCAGTCTGGAAATACTTATCAATATTCACAGAAAAATTTTCTCTTTCACCCTAATGAATTTTCCAAATTTATTTGGAAAAAGTCAAAAGAAGGAGAAAAGGACCTAAGAACAAAAGCTGTAGAGTAAGCTGGAATAACTCAAAGATCAGAAAAAAGAAAGTAAACACATAATTAAGGCATAGCTAAATACTTTTAACATATAGCTTATAAGTATTTTCATATATATCTAACATAGAATTAAGAATATCATTTAAAAAGAAAAGCACAAACAAAAAATTATACCAGGGGCAAAAAGGTGAAATGGAGGAGAAAATGGCAACCTACTCCAGTATTCTTGCCTGAGAAATTCCAAATTCCAAGGACAGAGGAGCTTGGCGGGCTACAGTCCATGGGGTCTTAAGAGCTGGACACAACTTAGCAACTAAACCACCACCAAAAAGGTGAATAAACATGTTAATATACATATATTATACTATAACTAATATAAAAATATTAAATATATATATATATAAAGAGAGAGAGAGAGTCCCAAAGAGAAATTTAATAGTGGTATTTAGAAGTATGGGCTTCCCTGGTGGCTCAGTGGTAAAGAATCTGCCTATAATGAAGGCGATGTGGGCTCTATCCCTGGGTTGGAAAGATCCCCTAGAGAAGGAAATGGCAACCTGCTCCAGTATTCTTGCCTGAGAAATATCACGGACAGAGGAGCCTGATGGGCTACAGTCTATGGGATCATAAGAGTCAAACATGACCTAGCAACTAAACAAAAATATAGAAGTATACACTTTAAACTACTTTATAATTTTTCTAGATGACACTGAATAGTTCTTCCCTTAAATTACTAGTTATTTTTAAATGAAATTCTGTTGTCTGTTAAATTATTATTTAATTGAATTAATAATCATTTAATAATTATGTATTTAATCAAATTATTATTTTTTATACTTTTTTAATCACTATTTTATTAAACACAAATTTAATGAAAAATATCTAGTGGCCTAAACAAGTAACCGTCCCCCTAATTAGTAAACCATGGAACTTTACAGAGAACTAGGACAGAATTTAGCAAACCTAGAGCTATGTATGGGGTGTTCTTGAATTCTCTAATGCTTCCTAAATAGTGTGTTCAATGGTCCTACCTATGTGCTACAGTAGTGCCTTCAGCCTACCATCTTTAATAGCACTTTATACATGAAAGGATTAGAAAGCACCATCTTAAAGGATCACAGAGTCCTCTCTCAAAGCCTAATTCAATCTAGTGCCTAGGAGCTGGAAATATAGTCAACTCAACCACTATATGTTTCTCTAGCAATTCTACTTTCAAAGGTGCTGAAATTTTACCCAACTGAACTAATACACTAATAATACAAAAACCAATAACCTTTACACAAAAATAAACTCAAAATGGATTAAAGATCTAAATGTAAGACCAGAAACTATAAAACTCCTAGAGGAAAACATAGGCAAAACACTCTCCGACATAAATCACAGCAGGATCCTCTATGACCCACATCCCAGAATTTTAGAAATAAAAGCAAAAATAAACAAATGGGACCTAATGAAACTTAAAAGCTTTTGCACAACAAAGGAAACTATAAGCAAGGTGAAAAGACAGCCCTCAGGCTGGGAGAAAATAATAGCAAACGAAGCAACAGACAAAGGATTAATCTCAAAAATATACAAGCAACTCCTCCAGCTCAACTCCAGAAAAATAAATGACCCAATCAAAAAATGGGCCAAAGAACTGAACAGACATTTCTCCAAGGAAAACATACAGATGGCTAACAAACACATGAAAAGATGCTCAACATCACTCATTATCAGAGAAATGCAAATCAAAACCACAATGAGGTACCATTATACGCCAGTCAGGATGGCTGCTATCCAAAAGTCTACAAGCAATAAATGCTGGAGAGGGTGTGGACAAAAGGGAACCCTCTTACACTGTTGGTGGGAATGCAAATTAGTACAGCCACTATGGAAAACAGTGTGGAGATTTCTTAAAAAGCTGGAAATAGAACTGCCATATGACCCAGCAATCCCACTTCTGGGCATACACACCGAGGAAACCAGATCTGAAAGAGACACGTGCACCCCAATGTTCATCACAGCACTGTTTATAATAGCCAGGACATGGAAGCAACCTAGATGCCCATCAGCAGACAAATGGATGAGGAAGCTGTGGTACATATACACCATGGAATATTACTCAGCCATTAAAAAGAATTCATTTGAATCAGTTCTAATGAGATGGATGAAACTGGAGCCCATTATACAGAGCGAAGTAAGCCAGAAAGATAAAGACCATTACAGTATACTAACACATATATATGGAATTTAGAAAGATGGTAACGATAACCCTATATGCAAAACAGAAAAAGAGACTCCGATGTATAGAACAGACTTGTGGACTCTGGGAGAAGGCGAGGGTGGGATGTTTCAAGAGAACAGCATCGAAACACGTATATTATCTAGGATGAAACAGATCACCAGCCCAGGTTGGGTGCATGAGACAAGTGCTCGGGCCTGGTGCACTGGGAAGACCCAGAGGGATCGGGTGGAGAGGGAGGTGGGAGGGGGGACCGGGATGGGGAATACATGTAAATCCATGGCTAATTCATTTCAATGTATGACAAAAACCACTGCAATGATGTAAAGTAATTAGCCTCCAACTAATAAAAATAAATGAAAAAAAAAAAACCTTTAAGAGAAAATAAACATAAGAGGTTATTAATAGCTGAAAACTCCTTAACCAGTTTACTTCTTTAAAATTTTCTTATTGTTCTTTCTCACATACAAACTAATCTTTCATATATCGTTATAATCTGTGTAATTTAGTGCTTGAGTGAATTTACATCTAGAATGAAGTGCTCAAAAACTAGTCCTTTCAAATGATATACTACCTTGTTGATGCTGTAACACTATTTGGTTCCAGGATGTTTTCAGTCATCTTTAATTGTACCACCTCTGGCATGTCATCTGATTTTCCTGCACCCTCTTCTGGTAGTTCTTCTATATGCTCCAGCTTTTCATCTTCCTCTTCTTCCTCAGAAAGTTCATTAACCTATATAAATAAGAGGAAACCAAGAAATAAAATTTAATGAAATTGTTAACTGATACCATCTAAAACATACCATTCTAAGAAAAATTTAAATACAACTCATTTTCCACTTCACTTCCTAAGACCAATTTCCCTTACAAAGTATCTGCCAACTTCTCCACATTAGAGTAAAATTTCAAACCAAACATAATACTTTAAAGCAGAAGGTAATGATTATACTAGTATATCACTAGGAATATGAATAAGACTGCAAACTATAAAAAAGCATACACACTACAGTTAATTAACATTTAAAAAACTTTATTTCCTAACCAATCAGATTTGTAAATCTAAGAGCTACAACAAAGACTTCAAATGACCTCTCCAATTTCCAAGTGCACTGAACAAGTGATTTTAATACAGAATAAGTGTGGAGAAAAAAGGGCACAGAAATTTTGCCTTAAGGTCTTAACTATGTTTTAGAAAATGACAGCTAACTTCTAAATGATTCAGACTCAACTCTTCATGCAGAAACTGGACCTCACAACAAGGAAGAACTCACTTATTTTTACCATGAAGCACAACTCAAGGTTATAATTCTCTTTCTGGGAGGGACTATAAAACATTTCTATTATCAAATTGGCTACATAAGTAAATAATCATTCTAATTAAAAAGACACAAATATCTGAGAAGGAAAACCAACTAAATATTTTCAAATGAAAAACATTTATTAAGCTATCCCATAGAAGAAACTAGCCATAAAGTCATAACATTTTTTATAAATTAATACTAGTCATTAAAAACATTAAACAGTAAACATAAATAGTTATGTCCATTCTAGCCAAATGGGCTGACAATACCTAGAATACATTTAAGCTACATGTAACACTGGTGTTTTTCCTGACAGGCAAATACAACAATTGCTACAAGACTCTCAGAAACGAAAACTTGAATCAGAGGAAAGGTAATTATACTTCGATACACTACCAACTCCTAATCAACAAGTACTGGAAATCATTGGCCTAAGTGGTTATTGGAGGAGGGCATGGCAACCCACTCCAGTATTCTTGACTGGAGAATCCCTTGAACAAAGGAGCCTGGCCGGCTACAGTCCATGGGGTCGCAAAGAGTCGGACACGACTGAGCGACTCACACACACACACAGAAGTGATTAACTGAGAAGTTAGATTTATACACTAAGGTGAAAATTTCAAATGACAGGTCAGTTTTTAAACTGGATGAAATGAAAAGTTACTCTCTTTATCTATGTATTTAACAAATTTCTTAAAATCAAGAATGTATTTAATTAATATCTACTTGATAATCCAAGGAAGAAAAAAAACTGACAAGAAAATACTGTTCTCAGGTTTGAGTACAAGAGTAGAAGACTGCAAAATAAAAAAGTAAGGTGACTATTTAAACTGAGAATAGATAACTATTCAGGACACACATTTTTGGTTCAGAAGTACTGTAATTTTAATACGTTACATCACCGGTTTTAAAATCAGTTTGTCTACAGTCAATAGCTCTTTCCATTAAAACTTTACCCTCAATTATAATGAATATATATTTGATTCAATAAGCTTTACATAATTAATAGATAGTTCCTAATATTTTCACCAGTAACCATCAACTAAGATAGGACACAAACACAATCTATTGCCTGTGGGTTTTTCTTCTCACTCCCCCACCCCTCACCCGAGGCCTTCTAGTGGAATTTCTTGCAGTAAGAATTCACTAAATTGGTTTGGGTAAGAGTAAAAATTAGATAAAAATGCTCCATCACCCCACAACTTAGCTTCAAAAGTTCTTCTTGATCCTCTTCTTATCAACTTATCACCTTCTGCTTATCAATACTCTGTTCTGTCCATAAGTTATTCTGAACCTGCCCTATACAGGCACCTGACTCAACTTATCACTTATGGAAAACCCTCAGCCATACTTACATCTCTTCCTTCTTTGACTGCTGTAATTCCCTTCTCTAGGACCTCGTGAAATGCCTGCTCTCCAGACTCCAGCTTGTGGAGAACGCTGCTACCTGCCTTCTCAAATGTATAAAGAAACATAATTATCACCTACATCTTCAAACCACTCTACTGGATTTGCAATCATTTAAGGATCCCATACAAAGAATCTGTTCTCTGACTCTGGGTCATTACTCAAACACTCCCTATTCAACATCTCCAATCAGATGAGACCTCTCATACTACTAAAAAAAAAAATCTACTACCTTGAAAAGGACCTAATGGCCAAATACTTGCATTAATGGGATGAAACTCTAAAAGTAGAGTGCTAAATAAGCGTTGCTTTCTTCAAGTATCAAAATCAGGGGGAAAATCAATGCACTGCCAGGACAGGTCAGGTCTGCCCACCTCTTTATGTATATGGATAACAAATTAGCAGCATTTAAGTTATAACAACTTTAAAATGCAACCAAACCGTGCTGAGTTTGAGGAGATTTTACTTTCACTCAGTATCTGATCAACTCAGCTTCACAAGACAAATACGAAAGATATGAAATCTACCTTAAAAAGGAAATTTCATACATCTGTACTATTACTTGCAATCCAGTTATAATTCAAACTGTAAGAAAGATAGACAAGATAATAGATTCTGGTGATTAGCAACATGAGCCGAGATAAATGATATACCTTGCTGTCTCTAAGGACTCACTACACTACCCTGTTTATTGAGCATATTCTGTTCAATATGCTAATATCCTCCTTTCTATTCACAGTCAAATCTGTAGAATTCAACATTATTTCCAGGTGTTAATTGACCACAACTATTTAATGTAAAGCACAATATATTTTGAGTCAGTTTTTATAGTGCTTAAAAAAATACAGAAATATAAATGTAATATATGTGAGCTATGAATATATTTCAGTTTACATAAGAAAGCTGCAGGATAATAGAAATATCAGAGGATTACACCACAATGTAAAACATAATCAAGATACACCCTGCAGACTTTAGAAGAGTCAAGATATAAACATTAGATCAAATTGGCATTTCTTGTAAGTCAAATCATCTCAGAAAAGTAGAAAATGAGTAACACAAATGTACGTATGTTGTTTCATTTTCAGCAGCCATTAACTTTATTTTAAAAAATTAACTGCTGAACTACAATGAAAAGAAAGGTGGCACACAGAATCCCCCAAAGATAAGAGTTCATATGGGTATCAAAAACCATTAAACATTTAAGGCATATATATTTACTTGTTCTCTTCTTGACATTTTCTTTTCAGCAAAAATAATTTTGAACAGCTCTATCAGTTCTTTATTTTAATCAAGTTTCTTAAGTCACATACTGTATAGTTAGAAACCTTCAAAAAAAATGCCAAAAGTTCCATGGAGCACTGTTTCAGGCTACAAATTCTACTGACTTGATTTATCTCACAAATACACATATAACATATATATATATACACACACACACACACACACATATATATTCAGCCTCAGTTTATACATGGTAAATTATAATTTTACATCTGTTACTGTTTTCTTAACAGTTTCTGATACTCGAAGAGAGAGAGGAGAGGAAGAAAGGAAAAGAAGGAAGAAGAAAAAGAGGGAAGGAAGAAGAAAAAGAGGGAAGGAAAGTCAGACAATGGTAAAAATGGTTACATGAAGAAAATATAAAAAACTTAAGGAACCATCCTATGTCTAACTAATCAATGACAAATGAGACAAGACTAAACAATGGAGAAAAGGCAAACTCTCCAATAAGTGGTGTTGAGAAAACCAGACAGCTACATGTAAAAGAATGAAATTAGAACATTCTCTAACACCACACACAAAAATAAACTCAAAATGGATTAAAGACCTAAATATAAGACTGGATACTATAAAACTCTTAGAGGAAGGCATAGGCAGAACACTCTCTGACACATACTGTAGCAGTATCTTTTTGGCTTCATTTCTGAGAGTAAAAACAAAAATAAATGAGACCTAATTAAACTTACCATAAACAAAACAAAAAGACAACCTACAGAATGGGGGGAAAAATACTTAAAACCAATGCAACTCACAAGGGATTAATTTCCAAACTATACAAACAGCTCATACAGTACAAAAAAAAAAAAGGGGGCAGAAGATCTAAACAGACATTTCTCCCAAGAGGAAAAATAAAATAAAATAAATAAAAAAACAGGACATATGGATGGCCAAAAGGCACATGAAAAACTGTTCAACGTCACTAATTATTAGAGAAATGCAAGTCAAAACCACAATGAGGTATTAACCTCACTCCAGTCAGACTTGTCAGTATCCAAAAGTCTACAAAAAATAAATACTGGAGAGGGTGTGGAGAAAAAGCAGCCCTCCTAAACTCTTGGTGGGAATGTAAATTGGTGCAGCCACTATGGAAAACAGTATGGAGGTTCCTTACAAAACTAAAAATAGAGTCGCATATGATCCAGCAGTCCCACTCTTGGGCATGTATCTGAAAAAGACAAAAACTCTAATTTGAAAAAATACACGCACCCCAGTGTTCCCAGCAGCACTATTTACAACAGCCAAAATATGGAAGCAATCTAAATGTTCACTGACAGATGAATGGATAAAGAAGATGTGATTGATACATATATATACATGTGACTGATACATACACACACACAATAAATATTACTCAGTCATTAAAAAGAATGAAATAATACCATTTGCAGCAAGATGGATGGACTTAAAGATTATCATACTAAGTGAAGTAAGCCAGAAAGAGAAAGACAAATATCATGTGATATCACTTATATGTGGAATCTTAAAAAAAATAGATATTTATAAAACAGATCCATAGACACAGAAAACAAACTTATGGTTACCAAAGGTAGGAGGTGGGGGGGGGTGGGATACATTAGGAGTTTGGGACAATTGTGCACCACTACTATATAGCACAGGAAACTATACTCAATACGTCGTAATGATTTATAAGAGAAAAGAACCTGAAAAAGGATAGCGACATAACGGAATGTGTAACATGTATAACTGAATCACTATGCTGTACATCCGAAACTAACACAATGTTGTAAATTAACTAAACTTCATTTAAAAACACAAAACAAACAAACCTAAGGAAAGTATAGTTCCCAATTATTAAAAAGACTTATCTATAAAAGTTCACAACGGTACATAAATCCTTTTAAATAAAAGCCTGGCTACCTAGGAAATAAAACTCCTAACTCACATAATAAAAGCCAACACCTATAAGAATGGATGAAAATCTGTATGATAAACATTCAAGAGATGCTGTTTTATAGTTTAAGAACAAATGAAGAGGAGTAATCCATTGTCCATCAATAAACAGCATAACCATAATAATTTATCATCTAAACTTGGGATACATTTGAAAGTGAAAAGGGGAGCTACTAAAATAACAATAAATTATTTATTATTTTATTATATTATTTTTTATTATTTCTTTCTAATAATTACACTAGAAAGCAGATATAAACTATGACACCTCTGAGAAAACCGGGATGTGCTATCATCATTTCAAGTGGATACAGAGACTATGATTCAGATAAATTATATGTTACATTCACACAATAGAGAACTTACACAGATATTTTTTTTTAAAGTCTACATTCTTTACATTCCAAAAAAAGATCTCCAAGATACACTGTCAAATGATTAAAAAAGAACAATGTGTATAATAGTATGTAAAGTATGCTACTTTCCTATTAAAATTACTAAGAAGAAATATTTACTTACATTTGCATAAAGAAATTCTGCAAAAACACATTAAAAAACCAATGAGAGGGAAAGGATGGACACAGGTAAGAATAGGACATTTTAGTATATATTTTACCTTACTTATTTTTAACCAGGTAAATTATTAGCTATTTTTTAAAAGGTAGCAGCCCCACCCCACACTCAAAATATAAATAACATTATAGGTTTTAATATAAAAGTTTGCTTGACAATCATTTCACTTAAGTACACAAGAAAAACTTCCAGACAGACCTAAAGCATGAATTCTAAACCTGAGAAGTCTGAATTAATGTGGCTTTACCGTCAATAACAATTACTCAGAATCAATATTCTCACTTCATAAAGAAGAAATGAATGAGGACCCTTTTATAGTCTCAACCATTAAGGCATAACAGTAACAATAAAATATACTGTTGAGAAATGGTTAGTTTTAACATTCAAGAGCCACAAAATTTAAAACATCTGCAACCGAAACCATTACTCTCCTGATGCTTCCCTAATGGGAATTAATATGGTAATGGTTACACTGCTGCACTGACTTGCTACTTCAATCAAAAAAACATTTTTAAAAGTCTGTGTCAACTTTACATACCACCTCTCCCTCTACCTTCTAATTCTCAACCTTTGCCTACATTCCTCTATGCTAGCAATTTCTTTGCAAAAACAAAAACACACTACTCTTAGAAAATAAACAATGCTTAATTTAACAAAAGAAAAACACAAGAAAATCCACAAAAGCTCTAGCATAGAGCTCTCTGGTTTCGATTCCTTTTCCATATTACCCAAATTGACAAGAAAGTTGTTCAGAAAAAAAATCACATTCATATACTACATGGAAATATCACCTATGATAATGTATAATAACCAAGAAAATTACTTCCAGTTCAGTACTTCAAAATTCCACATACGTTTGGGCCAAGCCCTTAAGAGCATATTCTTTACCAAGTGGAAAAAAACCTCCTTAAAATAGTCTCACCTGTTCAGTAATTGAACTCAAATCATTAGATGAAAAATCTTCCTCTTCATTCTCAAAAAACTCATAGTAATTTTCCAGAAGTCCAGCCATTATCCTGCTTACTATTTCTTGTTCTTTCAGATCTTCCACATCTGTGTAAATACTAAGAATGAAAGTCCAAATTGAATTCAGAGCCCTTAAATCCATCACAGACAGTCTGAAAAAACCAATGAGTCACTTTATAGACCTGAGTGATTTATGCCACCATTCTGTGCCTCAGTTTTCCCATCTGTAAAGTCAACCTAATTTGTACCTTGTTCACAGAAATGCTGGGAGGATTAATCAGATCTACTATAAAAAATAATGACCTATGACCCTTGGGAGACAGTATAATGATTCTATTTCACAAATACAATGTTTTTTAATCAAACAAAAATTTGTGAAAAAACTTACTGGAAGACATCTGGACCAAAGACAGCAGCCAAAGAGTTTGCTGACCAAATTTCTTCATGATGTGATGCTACATTGGCTAAAAATCTACACAGGAACTTTAACAAACTGTAATTAACAGGTGGAAGCTGTTGCAAGAGGAACCTCAACTTTCTTCCAAATTCATCTTCATTATTATAATCTATAAAACATAATGACAGGGTTTTTTCTTAATGAAGTAAAAGTAAAGCTCAGATATTTTGCCAGATTCACATTACCCCACCTACATCATCAGTTTACTATAACAATTCAAAACCTCTTCACTTCCTCCACTAGAGGCCAAATGCCTTAGGGCTTTGCATTTCACTTATTAAGTGGAAGAACTGGGGAAGGAATGCAACCCCTCAACTGTTGGAGGATGTTTTCTTCATTTATTATTCACTGGCTCCAATCCTAGAGCTTATTTTTTTTAATTCTCAACATACTGTCTTTTGCATGACTGTACATGTGTTTCCAAATTAGTGCCAACTCTAAGAAGTCAAAATGTACTCGTCAATACCAGTCAACACCAACCACTAGTAAGCAAAAATGAGAAGCAATTTAACCGGCTAACAGTATCAGAATGAAAGAAAAAACAAGGAAGAAACAGAGTAAAAAACAGACTTTCTTCTTTTAACACTCTGAAAAGGACAATTAAATTCAGCAGTTATCAACAGAACTATCAATACATTAAGATGCATTCCAGTACTTCCCTGGCAATCCAGTGGTTAAGGCTCTGGGCTTCCAATGCAGGGGGTTCGATCTCTGGTCAGGGAACTAAGATCCTACATGCTGCATGATGGAGCCAAAAAAAAAAAAAAAAAAAAACCCGAATTCCTCTTCTCGGTTTACCAAGTGAATTTCAACTACCAGAAGACAGGTCCTCTGTTTAGGTCAATGAGTTTTCATTAACAGAAATTAGGTCTGTATCAACCCACTGACTGGGGAGGGTCCCAAAGAGGAGAAGCAATTTCTCAGAGGTACCTCAAAATGAAGTAGTTAATTGCTCTAATAGGGAAAATTAACCCAATTATCTTTCATTCTGTATTTTTCTTGAGGTTCTTAAAATTAATTTAAAAATAGTTATTGGGGAAAAATTATTGGTAAAAGGTTCTGACCATGATACTGGTCATCTCTACAAAATAACGCAACTCTAAGAAGTTAACAGAAACGGCTATGGTCACATGAATTTTACTTAAAATTTAACATGCGACCAATAACAATTCTTCTACATTTCATAATATTATCAACTACCCAGGTACTCTGTCTTTATAATTGGTTGGAACAGTCCCTGAAAGAATGTTTATTTGAATTTCTGTGACTGTGAAAGTGTTAGTCTGTTAGTCGCTCAGTTGTGTCTAACTCTGCGACCCCGTGGACTGCAGCCTGCCAGGCTCCTCTGTCCATGGAATTCTCCAGGCCAGAATACCACAGTGGGCAGCCATTCCCTTCTCCAAGGGATCTTCCTGACCCAGGAATCAAACCCACATCTCCCAAACTGAAGGCAGATTCTTTACCATCTGAGCCACTGAAATTTTTAACAATCTAAATATAGCAGAAAAGGATTATTTAAGAAAAACCATGTATATCAACTCAAAAATATATGCCTCAATTAATATTATCAATATGATGACTACATCAACATTGACAAATTCTACATAACATTCTCTTCAGCTATGTAACATACTCTTGTTATTTATTTTATCATTTAACTCTCCTTAAGGCCCTTCAGAATTTTAGCTCTAAGACAGTTTTGTTCACTTCTGCATTCCTAGAATCTAAAACAGTGCCTGGCACACAGTAGGGGGTTCAATAAAAATTAGTTGAAGAAGCTGAATAAATACACAATAACTGAAAAAATATGTTGCACTACTAAAACATTTGACTTGACGGGGTCTTAAGATTGTGGGCTACACTGGTTTTGCCTGAAATACTATTTAACATGCTGCTTTACTTTTATTAGTGAACATTTCTAGTATTCAAAAGAGTATTCAAAAATATTTTCCTCTACCAGGTTGCTTCTAAAATTTTCAAATAAGCAGAGCAGTGTGTGTGTGTGTGTGTGTATTAAAAACATATCTGCTTAAACTTTTTTTCCTTTTGAGCCTACTTCCTAGTTAAATGTGTGTGTGTGTTTGTGAGTGTGTGTCAAAAACATCTGCTTAAACAGTTTTTATCCTTTTAAGCCTGCTGCTGCTGCTGCTAAGTCGCTTCAGTTGTGTCCGACTCTGTGCGACCCCATAGACGGCAGCCCACTAGGCCCCCCCATCCCTGGGATTCTCATGGCAAGAACACTGGAGTGGGTTGCCATTTCCTTCTCCAATGCAGGAAAGTGAAAAGTGAAAGTGAAGTCACTCAGTCGTGTCTGACTCTTAGCGACCCCATGGACTGCAGCCTACCAGGCTCTTCCGTCCATGGGATTTTCCAGGCAAGAGTACTGGAGTGGGGTGCCATTTTAAGCCTACAACCCAGTTAAATCATAACCAGGAAAAATATGTGTACATATCAAAGAAGATTCCCCTGATTAGGAAATCTTTTAAGCATTGTAACAGTTTTTTTTAATGTAACAACAAATTCACAGAACTGTGAATTGTGTTTTCTACCAAAATACGATGTATAAACAACTGGACAAACTATCAAGAGCTAAACCAATGGTTGATAACACTGACAATGAACGGAATGATTGTCATAACCTGGGGGAAAGGGCTACCAGTGGATCTAGTAGACAGAGACCAGGGATTCTACTGAATATCTTAAAATTCAAGGATAGCCCCTATACTAAAGAATTACCTAGTCCACAATGTCAGGAGTACCAAGGTTGTGAAATACTGGTCTAAATGAAAGATCAAACCACATCACATCACACCACACCACAACACACCACTTTGCAAGGTCCTGCTGCCACAGAAAATGAAAACTACTCTTTAAAAAAAAAAAAAAACACTAACTCAAATTCAACTGAAGAAATGCTCCCTCCATGACCTTAAAAGCACTAATTTCATCTATTTGTGAACATCAATTAAAATATTAACGTAAGTTACTTACAATAAATGGAAAGAATTCTGTCCAAAGACCCAGACACTTTCCCAAATGAATGATTAAAGGATGAATGAACAGATTTTATTACAACAGAAATAAAAGTATCACCTCGAGTACCGCCACACCTATCTGCATAGCTATTAAAGAAATGGGTGTCTTATGTGGGTGTGTGTGCATACATGTGTGTATGTATATGGGTGTGTGTGCTAATGATTATGTACATGGGCAATGGAGAAGAATAGTGGTTTTCTCAAAACAGGCCAAAAGCATTTCTGCATGTCTTAAATTCCTTCATAAGAATGAATACTGACATAGAATAATTAGTAAGATATATACTGTAACTACATAAGTAACACAGTATATGATACTGTCATACTTTTAAATGACTAACAGTGAAAATGACAACCTCAATGACAAAACAGCTTCTGACTGGTAGCATCAACGAGAGGCAGTAACTTTATTATCACTAAATCTTATTCCACTTATTCATTTATAAATTTTCAGTCAAAACTGAAAGATTATCAGATTCTTAGAACTTTAAAAGACCTGTGTACAATTCTATAACACAAGGAAAATGGAATCCTATCATTATAAAAACAAAATAAGTGGCTCTAAAGACATAAAAAGAGCTCAAAAACTCTAACACATCAGTTTCATTATATATATTTAACGGGTGAAAAAATGCTTATTAGGTGACTCAATATAAACATCTGAAAAAATTCCTACTTCTAAGAAAAGAAATTTGAAATAGATTCAGAAATTCAAAACAAAAATAATATTTCTTGGGACAAAAAAAGAAAGTTACATTTTGAAAAAAGGTGATGATATTGATACTTTATTCTGAAACTTGTTCTTTGATCCAGGTGGCACAATAAAGAAACAAAACTAAAAAAAGAAAAAAGAAACAAAACTGAATCAGGCTAACCATTCCTGAATAAATCAAGTATAAAATGAGCTCTATCATCAAGCTGTATAGAGAAAAACATACATAAGAGGATCATAAAGTATCTTTGGACTTTTAACACATAAATAAGAGGCATCTATTAACTTAGGCTTGCTTTTAAATTAAAAAAAAAATAAAGAAAGAAAGAAAAAATAAAATGGAAAAATCTTCTCAAAAGGAAATCCTCCTCTTCTAACCATACACAACTTAAGGACATACACGAACAAAATATCCAGCTCTCACAGCGATAGGGATTAAGGAAGCAGTTATAATTTCTTACCATCACTGAATTTCTCTAGAAGTTCCATTTCAAAAAATTAAAGAGATTCCACAATACAAAGAAAAGCCAGAAAAAATAGTTTAAAAATCCAAAGAAATGTATAATACATTTGATCCCTGAACAACACAGGGGTTGGGGTGCCAACCCTCCACACCATTGAAAAGTCGTGTATAATGTTACAGCAGGTCCACCAAGTCCACGGTTCTGCATGTGTCGATTCAACCAACTTTAGATCATGTAGTACCACAGTACAAATTTACTGAAAAAATATGTAAGTTCAAACCCATTTTGTTCCAGAGTCAACTATATTACATGTCAACTTCACAAATTTCCTATGTAACGAAACATCACACTATTATATACACATGAATAATACCATCTGGCTCAAGAAACAGAAGCACCTCCTCGCTTCTCGGCTCTTTTACCTTTCTGCATACCTCTACTTTTATTTTTCTTGTCCATCCCAGCTAAGTCCTACTTTTAGTCGCCACCAAAAAACTAACCCAACAGAGACAAATCAATTTCTTTATTTGGGTTGCAATCTGATGTCCAATTTGATATTTTATCATGGGGTAGCGAAGGAAATGGCAACCCACTCCAGTGTTCTTGCCTGGAGAATCCCAGGGACAGCGGAGCCTGGTGGGTTTCCGTCTATGGGGTCGCACAGAGTCAGACACAACTGAAGCGACTTAGCAGTAGCAGCAGCAGCAGCAAAGAATCAGACACAACTCAGCGACTTTCACTTTCCTTCAGGCAGGTGTCCAAGAACAAGTTTTAGGTATAGTCCAAACTTAGAATCAAAGCTGTCTTCTGGTTTTTGCTAGAATATTCAATCAAACCAAGGATAAACATAGTAACATCACCACTAACCAACACCTCTGGCTATTATGGGACATTCTGCCATACATCTTTTTGTTGTTGTTGTTCCTTCTTTTCTTTCTTTGTTCTTGTCTCCTGCTTTTCCTCCTTCTCATCCTATATCTTAGGCTCACTAAGACCAATCATAAAAAGTAAAGAGCACTACAGGAATCTAAGAGGTTGCCATTCCTTTAACTAGACAATATAGCCCCAAAGAGCATATGTGTTCAAATAGGAACTTAAGAAATTATTCTCAGAATTACTATAATTACTGCTTACATGTCAAGATTTCTAAAAGATAAAGATTTTAAAATTAAATGTTAAGTGACTGATTGGTAAGATTCAGATTCTGTTACCTTGAGAAAGTTGCATCAAGTGAATATGCAAACTGCCAGGGATAACAGGTTCAGGAAGTTCTTGAAGGAAAAACCTAAGAAGACTAATAGCTGAGGGAACATCTGCTTCCTTAACCAAATCCACCTCTTCTCCACTGTCGTATCTCTGCCGAAGCCACTCCACTGTCTCAGCATTCCCATTGACTTGAAAAAGTCCTTGTTGCTCCAGACCTCCTACATGAGTTCAAGGCAAAAATTAAATAAGTTTCAACTACCATATATATTCATTCTCCAGTGAACTTAAAATATTCATACTTTCAGAAAGCCATTCTTGTCTCCCCTGATTGGGCTGAACACCTTCAAATCACACATCTAAAAACACACAATGTCTCTGTCTTGAGGGATATTCTACTTTATCCCACCCTCTTATATTCATTACAAATATTCTTATCATCCCTCCCACTAAAATAGGCTCTAAACCAGGCATATCTGAATATATGACTTTAAGTGAAAGACACACTAAAAAAAAAAAGAATTTCCATTAGTTTTCCTCACAATATTTTGGACACTGAGTACTGAGGAAAAAAATAATCCAAGGTCATAAAGGGATAAGTTATGTCTATTAAAACAAAGGCTAGCCCTCAAAGTAAGGAAATATATACCATGTTCCTCAATATAGTCCACTACATGGCGGACTATGAACGGAACCTCATTGTCTGGATGTCCTCCCTGCTGCAGCTCATCAAGTGGAATTCCAAATATTTTGTTAGCAAGAACGGAGTTGCAGTTACTCAAGGAAGGGGAGGAGCTCTTCCTCATATCTTTTTTGCAGCCAGAAATCAAAGCTGTCTTTTCTGCCAAATGAAAGGAAAAAAAAGACTATAATGATTAACTGGTGGCAATATGACTAAATACATTAAAGAAGAAGGCTTTACACCTGAATGTGTTCTTATCTATTAAATATGTTCCAGTTACCAGGCCCACAGTGTGTTCTACAATCAAAGCTCAATACAATCATCTAAGCATTTTCTCTACTATGTGAAGTCAGTTCTGAATGCCCCCTTTAGTGAAAGTTGCTCGGTCATGTCCGATTCTTTGCAATTCCATGGACTATCCAGGCCAGAATACTGGGGTGGGTAGCCTTTCCCTTCTCCAGGGGATCCTCCCAACCTAGGGATCGAACCCAGGTCTCCCACATTGCAGGCAGATTCTTTACCAGCTGGGTCACCAGGGTAGCCCAAGAAAACTGGCATGGGTAGCCTATTCCTTCTCCAGCAGATCTTCCCAACCTAGGAATCAAACTGAGGTCTCATGCACTGCACGCGGATTCTTTACCAGCTGAGCCATCAGGGAAGCCAATACTAATGCCATGCCAAGACTGCATATTTATCAAACAATGGCAAAACTGATCACTCAACTTCGCCAAGGATATTAATGTCTCAAAGACAAATTAAGGGACAAATTCTGCTCCAGTAAGACCTTACTGACCAAGCTTAATAATGACACAAGTAAAAGGTCAAACCTAATCATTTCTGGACTCCGGTATCTAACCACTCAATTCATAAGCACCCTAACAGGAGAGAATCTTTTTTTCTAAATGATAGGCTAATAAGAACAAGATTAACCAGTTCTCATTTCTACATGACAGAGCAGCCGTAATGTTTTTATAAACAAAGGAAATGCTTCAGCTCTAGGCATCTACCTTTAATGAGAATATTCTTTTATCAATCCTGCTGCTTCGTAATTATTCAAAAGAAAAACTTCCACAGTCCAGTTCAGAAGAAATAAATTATTCATCTTAACTCTGTAGGACTTGTGATTAATAAAGAATCAGTGGGCAAAAACAATGTTTCCAATTTCCAAATCATCAAAGAACAAATAATCTCAAAAAATATTCATTTTCTAAAATAATCATTTATGGGAACTCCCTGGTGGTCCAGTAGTTACAACTCTGTGCTTTCATTACTGAGGGCATGGTTTCAATCCCTGGTCTGGAAACTAAGATCCCACAACCCATGTAGCATGGCCAAAGAAATAAAAAATAAAAACAAATTAAAAATGTATTACTTTATATGGATAAAGGAAAGAAAAACTTCAAAAGTTGATAATGAACAAAATGACACCAACTGAGATTTTTTCATCACCCAAGAGACACAATTCCTTTCACCCTACAAGAGAAAGATAAGAGCAAAACAAAAAAAGCTCAATATTCTAAAAGTTTACACAAATAAATGTATAAGTACATGTATATGTCCATACGTATAAAAGGTAAACCCACTGGAGAACAAATGAAACTTATATAAATAGTAAAAATTAACTTAGGGACAGCAAAATGCCATAAATGTAAACAGTTTCAGACAAGCAAAACCCATTCTTTAACACATCTGATGTCAGTTAATAACTACAAAACCTGAAGTTAACAATTCAATAGCAGTCACAGGAAATTAATTCTAAAATCTCTGTGGATATATAAGCATGGAATAATTACCATTGTGAAAACTTACCTTTGAGTACTTAAACACCTAAGTTTAAAAAATGGTTTCTGCACCAGCTACCCTCACTGAGCAAGCATTCTTTTGTCATTTATGGCTGTTTGAGATTATGGCAGAAGATCAGCCTATAGTTCCTCATTGAAGAAACGCAGAACTCGATCAGTACTTCAGCAGTTAATCTAGAAGAAGAAAAAAATTCTTTTAATTTCCTATAACATCTTTAACTGTGAAAAGAGACGAGAAGCAGCAGTCAATCTATTCAAGAAGGCGACTAAAACAAAAAGCATTCTTCTGCCTAAAAAAAATCTGTCTGAGAGGGATTTTCCTGGTGGTCCAATGGCTAAGACTGCAAGCTCCCAATGCAGGGGGCCTGGATTCAGTCTCTGGTCAGGGAATTAGATCCCGCATGCCACAACTAAGACCCGATGCAGCCACATAGATAAAAATTTTTTTTTTTAATCTGTCTGAGAACAAGAGGCAAAAATCTTACATGAAGTTTCCAATTACGATGGCTAACCTGGGTATGATTCTGCTAAAGATAAACAAACGTATTGCACAGGACAATCTTTGACAGCACACATCTTCAGGGATTACACCATTCTCATAATACATTTTTCCTCAATGGACCCATCATTTGTGCACACACCCACACACGCATCCCACCCAGTTCTATTCCATCCTTACTCATATACTCAGAATTAAACATGGAAGCACTTTTAGATCAGAGTGAAAGACATGAGTTTAAGCTTGGTACCACACTTACATACTTTATATACAAGAAATATTTTGTTATCCAGAATACAGCAGTATGAGCTTTCTAATTTGAACAAGCAATAGTGCATGTTGGAAAAGAGGAGTTTTCCAACTAGAACAAGAAAGTGCATATGTAACGTGTATACACAGCACTAGAAAGGTGCATATTCAAGTATCAGCTCTGTAGACGTGATCCTGAACAGCTTCCAAGTCGCTAAGCCTAGGTTTCCTTATATAAAAAATACCTACACACGTTACATTTTACTGAGAAAATCCACACATGCATTAGAAAGAAAATCAATTTCTTTCTCTTCTTTACATACTGTTAAAAGGCCAGCAAAAGAGGCTATGGAGAAACAGAAGGGCAGGGAAAACCTGTTTGGTAATGTATTTAATATTTGGTCTCATCGTCTTCTGTAAATTCTGATAATCTATGTAAAATCTTCTAATAAGCTCAGTACACTGCAGGTCCCTGCTCAAGAGGGTTCAGGTAAGCAGAAGAGTATTATCATACAGTGTGGTTTTCAAAAACGTGTTAATAGTAACATATACCTCCAGGAGGAACATTAAAAACGGAGGGGAAAGAAAACCATGCTCCCACGACAAATGCTTAATAGATGATTACTTCCAAAACATCCTAAAATGCCTGCTAAAACATGTAGTCTCTTACACGAAAAACAATTTCAAAGTTATATAAGATCTTTTAGAGAGGTTAACTTCAGGGACAAGATGTCTAATAACCAACCCTCCTCCACAGTGATTTCATAAAACTACAATGAGCAATGAAATCGAGTATATTTTGTATAACCACACTCGCCAAATCATGGTGCTAGATGCAACACATATATTTTACAAACTGCAACCCACTGAACAAAACATTTCACCTTGAGAAAGTTCATTTACCCCTATTTTATTCAAAGTATTCACGTAAAAACTGGTTGCCCCTAGAGAAAATCTATTAGTAAATAGCCTGGTTAATTCTGAGTAACTCTCAAAAAGGTTTCATGGCCACAGTCAATTATTTTATAACATACATGATTTCAAACTTTTAAATCAGAAGAAAAGTAATAAAGACAAAGGGAAATAAAATCCCCTGTGACTAAGTCCCCTCATCTATTCTCCTTACTGATATCCTCAATACTCAAACCTAACCTGAATTCCCTACACAAAATTCCTCAATTGTTTTCCAATGCCTAGAGCCCTGGGCTCCAAATTTTTCAATCAGGAAAAAGATTATGACTATACCTCTCATACATGTATGTGTATATCTAAGGTAAAATATTGAATACCCTAAGATACTATGAACGTAATAAACACATACTATAATAACATTTTTAAAAGTAATTCTCTGGCAGTTTAGTGGTCAGGGCTCTGCACTTCCACCCAAGAGGCACTAGACTAGTTTGATTCCTGATCAGGGAACTAAAATTCTACTTGCAGCACAACTCAGCAAAAGAAAAAAAAATAACATTAAAAATAAACAGAAATGTAAATTGTATTCCTCCACCTCCACACACATTTTAACAGATCATCCTGCCCACTCAAAGTGTCAGCACCTCACTTTTGAGACCAGTGACCTACAGCACTGGTTTCCTAACTTCATCTGGGGATGGGGTGGGGTTTGTTCAATATACAAATATTCAGCCACGACCGCAATCTAGCATCCGTGAGAACCTGGCCTGGGACTCTGTATGTTTAATCAGCTCTTCAAGTGATTGTAATACATACAAAGTTTTATGAACCTCTGACATACACCATAGACTGCAAACTTTATTGCACGGCCTACAAGTACTTCACCTAAAATCTCCTTTCCTGACATTCCTCCACCTCACTCTACTCGCCAACAATATTTAACTACTTGAAATTCACAACCCACACCTCCCAAGCTGTGCGTGCATTCTGCTTCCTGTCTTGGAGCCCTAACTCAACACCATGACAAATTCCATCTTGTACATCAGACTTCCAATTCACCATCAAGTCTCAACTTTACTTCCTCTGTCAAAGCCTCCATGACTTCCTAAGGCAGACAGTTCTTCTCTTTTGCTCCTATTGTGTTTCTTACCTTTTTAGCAATGATCCCATAGAATCTAAAAATACGCCTGTCTCTTTTTTTCAAGAGAGACCTTGTAGGTAGCAACTCTGTCATTTCACCTTTGTATAGCCTCATACAATTCCTAACACATAATTTAAAGTTTAAAATATATGTTGAAAAATAAATAAATAAAATATATGTTGAATAAAGACATAAATAAGAAGCATAAATAAGAATAACACTGGCTATTCAAAGTTAAGAAGATAAGAAGTAAATATCTCCTTAAGTGATTAAAAACTAAATAAAAGATCAAAAGTGGCTGCCATATCTCCTTCCAGCAATAATCAAAGATAACCAAATCAAGAAAGAAAAGCACTTTATAATAACTTTAAAGTATAACATATAAAAATACAATAATCATTACGTTGCATATCTAATACTGATAATAATAAAACTAATAATACTGTAAATCAGTTATAATTTTTTTTAAAAATTAAAATAAACTCTGATTTATATCTATAAGCACTTCATAAGTTATTTCT